GCTATATTCAATTTTATATCTTAATTAATAAAATTCTGGTTATTGATAAAAAAATGTGGAAGGTGGTAAGGAATTCAGTGAAAGGAAGGGTAGAAAAAGAGGGAATATGTAAAAGAGTGCAAGGGGAACAAGATTCACATGTTAAGAATGAAGATTATAAACCAAAATGTTTGGGGGTTTGGGAGTGTGAGAAAGAGAGCCCTAATAAAAGAGTTGCTTAGGAAAGAGAACCCATACATAGTTCTTATTTGAGAATCTAAACTTTTGATGTTTGACAACAAGTGGGCTAGGAGTGTTTGGAGGGCCAGGGGTACAAGTTGGGCTATGTCTCCATCTTGGGGATCTTTAGGGAGTATTGTGATCCAAGGTTCAAAATATCGGGCGTATCGGGCCAATCGATACACATTTTGGTTACTTTTTTTTTTTATTTTTTTTTTCGCAACCGGTTCAGGGAGGCCGGTTTAGGTCTCCTCTACCCCCTGAACCGGTCAGACCTCTGATACACCCATTGTAGGGACGTATTGGAGGGGTCTCGGAATGATACGTATCGGCCGATACGAGACGATACATGTCAATACCTTGAACCTTGTTGTGATCCTTCGGAGGAATGATGTGGTGCAAGGAGTAGAACAATTGGTAGAGAATTCACAGTTTCAAATAAGTTCCAACAGTTGGATGATGGGTTTGAATGGGTTCTGACAAACATTTATGGCCCTAATGGATATAGGGAGAGGAATGAAATGTGGGAAGAACTGTGAGAAATATGGGGACTGTGGAAAGGTCCATAGTGTATAGGTGGGAACTTTAATGTAATAAGGTTTGTGGAGTTCAATAAGTTGAGGCAAAGAGTTACAAGTTACAACCAACATGTTTGATGAGTTGTAAACTCTTGTGAGCTTAAGGAATTTCCTCTCTTGCATAAGAACTTCACGTGGTCCAATCTCTAGATCAACCTGATTTGCTCTAAACTTGATAGATTTCTTTTCGTAGTGGACTGGGAGAATTATTAGGAAGATTTGAACCCGAGGGTCTTGCCTAGAATAACTTCTGATCATTGACCAATTTCCTTGTTGGCTTGTCCAATGATGATCCAAGGGGAAGGGGTCCGACTCTGTTTAGTTTTGAGAACATGTGTCTCTATCATCTAGGATTTAAAGAAAAAGTTAAGGAGTGGTGGGGAGAGAGTAATCTGAGGATAAAATGGGAGGGTATGAAATTTCATCACAAACTAAAGCTTTGAAGGCCGAAATAAAGGATTGGAACATTTGGCAGTTTGGGAGATTAGAAGAGAGAGAGAGCAAGAGGTAATTGATCACATTGAGCTTTTGGATGAGAAAGAAGAAGGAACCTTTAGAGAAAATGATAAGCTAGAGAGAGATATTAAGGAAGCAATTGGAGGATATTCTATTCAAGGAAGAAATAAGTTGGAGACAAAAAATTTGGGCACAAATGGTTAAAGGGGATAGAAATACAAAATTTTTCCATGCATTAGCAAATGATAGAAGGAGAAAGAGTTTTATATCAAAACTAGAGATGGAGTATCTAGTAGTTACTCAACAAAGTGAAATTGCCGGAGCCTTTGTGGAACATTTCAAATTCATTTTTAGGAGACCCTTGAGTGAGAAATTAAGGTTAGAAGGGATAGGTTGGCCAAGATTATTGGGTGACGACAAGGTTTGGCTAGAAAGGAAATTTGATTTGGAGGAAATAAAGGAAGTGGTCTTTTTGATGGATAGAGCAAAAGCACCAGGTCCAAATGGGTTTGTAATGGATTTTTACCAAGATTATTGGGACATTCTATTGATCAAAAAAGAAAAGAAAAAAAGATGATATCCCAAGGGTCTTTAATGAGATAGTTGAAATAGGAGTGTAATAAATCCAGGGCTGAATTCCACTTTCATGGCTTTGATTCCTAAAAACCGGGTGCAAATCATCCAAGAGAACTTAGACCCATTAGCTTAGTAAATAGCTTGTATAAAATCATTAGAAAGGTGCTTTCCAGTAGGTTTAAATCTGCTTCCTACTGTAATCTCCTCAAATCAAGAATCATTTGTAAAGAATAGGCAAATTATTGATGAAACCCTATTGCTAATGTGAGTGTGGAAGAGATGAAGTGAAAGGCCTATGACCTGGTGAACTAGGGGTTTCTATTGTAAATGTTGAGGAACTATGGGTTCAGAGATAAGTGGTGCAAGTGAATTCAAGAATGTATTACAACTTGCCACTACTCTCTCTTGGTGAATGGGCCTGTAGTGGATCATTCTCTAGCTATCAGAGGAATTAGACAAGGTCACCCTCTTTCCCCTTTCTTGTTTATCGTAGTGGCTAATGTATGACGGAAGCTAATCTAGAGAACAAGTTATAAAATTTTATTTTGTGAGGTGGAAAGTAGGAAAGGATAGAGTGCCCCTCAACCATTTGCAATTTATGGATGTTACAATTTTATTTTGTGAGGGTGATGATATCAGAGAAATTTGAGGGTGGCATTGCAATTGTTTGAGCAGATGTCAAATTGAAAATTCAATTTTAACAAGAGTTGTGTAGTGGGGGTGAACATGGAAAAAAGGGAGATGTCGGTCTGTGCATTAATTTTGGGTTGTGAAGTTGCCCAATGACCAATGAATTACTTGGGGTTACCTTTTGGTGATAACCCGGAAAATTTAAACTTTGGAATCCTATAATGGACAAATTTACAAAGAGACTAGCCTTTTGGAAAAGGAACTTTTTATCATTGGGCGGCTGAATTACCCTAATCAAATCAACTCAGGCCAACCTGCCTGTTACTTCCTCTTGGTGTTTAAAAATCCAGCAAAGGTTTGTAGAAGGCTAGAGAAATTTATTTGAGATTTTCTGTGGTAACTAGGGGAGTAAAGAAAGGACCATAGAGTTAGATGGGAGGTTGTGAGTAGTATGAATTTTGGTGGCTTAGGAATCGGGAACATTTAGAAGAGGAATATGGCTTTACTAGGGAAATGGTTGTAGAGGTTGCCGATGGACAAGGATGAATTGTGGGCAAAGGTGATTCCCAGCATTCATGGACTGGTGGTTTAGGGCTGGGATGCGAGAGTACAGGATCAAGCTACTTTTGCTGCCCCTTGGAAGTCTATACATGCCATTCTTCCTTTATTCGTTCCCTTTATTAGGTATAATCCTTGTTTTGGAAATCTGGTAAAGTTTTGGGAACATGTCTGGGTGGGGAGTTCACCATTAAAAGATCAGTTTTCTTCTTTGTTCCCCATTTTCAACTACAAAAACGAGACTGTTTCCACTGTTTTACCTTCTTCTGATTTGGGTCTTGAGATTGAATGGGATTTGGGCTTCAGGAGGGGAGTCAGAGACTCAAATTTGGACAACGTTTTGGCTTTGCTACAATTTCTACAAAGGGTTTTCTTGGATCCTTCTAAGGTGGACTGTCAGATTTGGACTCTTTCCTCTTCTGGTGCCTTGTCTTTTTTTTTTCAAAGCCTTATTTCAACCTGCTGATAGTTTAGGGCAACCTTTTCCTGTTAAGGAAGTTTGGGTAAACTGATTCCTCCCAAGGATTGGGGCCTTCTGCTGGGAAGTTTTCTTGGGAAAAATAAACACTGTGATCTACTTCAAAAGAAATAGCCTTTTTGACACTTATCTCCTAATTGGTGCATTCCTTGTAAAGCTGATGGTGAGTCCTGCTATCACTTGTTAGTCTCCTGCCCTTTTACTTCTATTTGGGATTGGGTTCTTTCTTTGTTTGGTCGTAAGTGGACTCCATCAAGTGCGCAAGGCCTTTTTGGGTAGTAGCTGGACAAAGAAGAGGGGAAGAGTGTTGTGGAGATGCGCAAGAGCTGCGGATTGTTGGACAATTTGGGAGAAAAGGAATCAACGATTATTTGCTGAAAAAGAGAGGAGCAGAGAGAGAATTACTGAGGCAACCACTTCTAGGGTGACCCATTGGGTGAAATCTTTGGCATTGCTGAATAGCAAGAAGTGGCAGCATCATCCCCTAGTAGGAGTATTTCATATCCCATGTGGACTTCACCAGTGGAAGATTTCATAAAATTGAACTTCGATGGCAGCAGTGAAGGTAACCCTGGACCTGCAGGGATAGGGGGAATGTTTGGGAGTGAGGAAGGTGTAGTCAATGCTCTTTTTTTCAGGCCCCATTGGAGTTGGGGACTCACTCCAAGCTGAGATTATGGCCTTTTTGATGGGTGCAAAAGAGCTAAGGAACTAAACATTAGTTGGTTGGTCATTGAAGGAGACTCCAAAAGTGGTAATAGGGTGGGTGGCTAGAAAAGGAGGTTGATGGTATGCCATACATTAATGTAAGTAGAAATTTCAAGTGGCTGACTCGGAGAATGGAAGTGAGATTGCAGTGGGTTAAAAAGGTGTGGCACATCAGTGATGTGCATTTTTTCTCACATTAATATATATATATATATTTTTTTTCCGTTGCTGATAAAAAAGAGAAGGGATATTGAGGTCCAAGAGGGTTTTTCTAATGGTTCCTATAAAAGCATTGTGAACACACTTTTTATTTTCTGTATTTGATGAACATATTTCTTTGAAAATCTCTTCCTGTGGATTCAAGTGTTGTCTCGACAGTAATGAGGTGTTGATCTTGATTGCTCTCACGCGTTACTGCTATGTTATTCCAGCTGCCAATTGCCTTGTTTTTTCATTGATGAATCATTTATAATGTCTGCCAAAGCTCAATTTCCTTGACAATCCTTATTTCAACTCATTGTTTTTGTTTTTTTTTTTTTTTGAAAAAAAGGTAAGGTAATTTTATTGCTGGAAATATAGCATACAAACCCGAAAGGAACCAGAAATAGTTCACCCCCAGATATACCACTCTAAAATCCCACAATCCAGCTAAATATTGTATCATTTCTCTCTGACCAGATAGTACTGATCACTTCTGCCTGAATAAGCCTCCAAATGTACTGATCATTTCTAAATATTTTATTTCAACTCATTGATGTTGTTGGATCTTGATCTTTTAACTTTTGTTAAATCAACAGAATATAGTGCATGGGGACATTAAGCCTGATAATCTTTTGGTCACAAGCACTGGTATGGTGAAGATAGGAGACTTCAGTGTTAGTCAGGTGTTTGAGGTAATAATGTTTTGCTCTTGAATTTGTTCTCAATACTGCGTAGACTCTCTCTTTCTCTCTCTCTCCCTCTCAAAGCTTAGTTGGGGTTTGAGGTGGACCCTGCCTAGAATATATTGATAAACTATTACATGTACAACCCTTGCCCCTAGGTAACATTGGATAAGATGGATATATGCTCAATGGAAAAGAAGGAAATAGTATATTGCATCAAATAGTAACTTTTCTTATGTTATAAATTACAAGTTGTCAAACCATCAGAAAAAAATAGTGACTTATGTTTGGAAAGACACCATTGAAAAGTATTATTAAGCTGGTTAACATGACACTCGTCACATTGTTGGCATTATGTGTTTAATGCATTAATTCTTCTCAATTCTCTTTGACTTTTTTACTTTTTATTGCATCCCTTTATTTGGCATAAATCCAATGTGACTTTTTTTGTTTACTTCAATCTGCATAGATTTGCATATGATATGAGGTTTTCAGGATGCTATGGCTAGTGTATCTAGCCAGAGGTCTATACCTCAGGGATGCTATTTTGGTAAATGAGGTTTTAAGGATTATATAAATGCTTAATAAGCGGCTGGTGTAGTAATAATGTCATGTCATATATCTCAGTCTAGGTATTACAGAATACGAATACCTGATATAAATGTTGTTTGATTCAGAAAACTTAATTAAAAGTCGATAAAACTGTTGAATCTGAATAATTGAAGATTTTTAACTTTAGTGTTGAACTTCAGGAATTTGGTTTTTCATGTTATGACCAATTAATTCCTTTTTGAAAGTTATGAAAACCCGCAAACCTAAGAATTAAGGTCTACCTCTTTTCTAATCCCTGTTGTTACAGTGGTGCATTTATTGTTCTATCCCAAGCACATAGATATGGTGTTGCAGGTAGGTTAACACTTTATTCTGTTTTATCTGCAGGATGATAATGATGAGCTTAGGCGATCTCCTGGGACTCCTGTTTTTACGGCACCTGAATGCTGTTTAGGTGAGTTATTCTGCCAAATTAGCTTTTTGTCAGAACATGAAAGAATTGTACTCTGGTTATATTGATATTTTTATCTGTGATGGACTTGTCATTTGCAAGAAACAGGTCTAACCTACCATGGTAAAGCTGCAGATACATGGGCCTTGGGTGTTACTTTGTATTGTATGGTGATTGGTTATTACCCGTTTCTTGGTGACACACTACAAGATACATATGACAAGGTGTCTTGGTTACTGTTTCACTGTTTTCCGGTTCTCTCTTTCAGTAGTCCAGCTATTATTATCTGTTTTAACATATATTTCTCTCCATCTTGTTTAGATTGTTAAAAAACCTTTATCCATCCCAGAGGGCATCAACCCCCAGCTGAGGAACTTGTTAGAAGGACTTCTCTGCAAAGGCCTGTTTACTCTCCTTTGGCACCTGCAACTCCAATTACTGATAAAAAATGCATCTAGAACTCCAATTTTCGAGTTGATGTTTTTTGTTAGCAGTGTCATATGTTATCGGTTCATCTCTATTGTGCTCTTCTATGATTTTATTGATTATCCTATGTATTGCAGATCCACAACACAGGTTGACTTTGGAAGCTGTGGAACAACATCCATGGGTGATAGGAGAAGATGGACCAATCCCTCGGTATATCTGCCGGTGCAAGCGAACTAGCTTTTCAGAGGGAAAAATCTGATGGGAAAGGAGATGCTGACATGACTAGTACTGACTGAACCTGCCATATGGGTGAGATTGTTTTGTACAGAAGAAAAGTCGGAGATTTTATACTCAGTTTACCTTCATCTTGGGGAAGAAGGGGGAAGTTTTGGGTTTTCTATTAACCTTTCTTTTTTGTTTGGGGGTGGGGGGATGGGGATTGGAGCTGGTTTTTGCGAGGAAGTTTTAAGATTCAAGGGAGATAAGGGAATGTTGACCATTTGGCTTTGAGATGAAAAATTTTCCCCTTGAGGCAAGTGCCATAAATTTTAAGTTTGGTTTTGCTGAGGAACCTGGTTATTTTGTAACTTTGACCTTTCAATGTTTGGTTAATACAACATAACGAGAAACAGGAAGGGGTGGAGGGAACAAGTGGTGTTGATTGTACATTTGCTTCCTTCATTGGCCGTCAAATATGCGATGGCTCTTCATGTTGTACCTTTGTAATATACAGGCCTTGTGGGTATATGTATGAAGATTGTCATCGCGAGATTATTTCATTGTATGTAGAAAGCAGGTGAAGATGCTTGTTGGACATGTAAATGAAACGATTCCTTTGGTTCTATAAACGGTGAGAGGGCTCAGTTGTTGAAGCTATGCCATGTTTTTTATGGGATATCTGAAAAGTACACCCAATACCATGCATGGTCTTAACCAAGGCGTATCGGCCGTTTTGATATCTTTTGTTTTACATTTCTTTTTTTAAATTTTTTTTCAAAACTGGTTCAGGGGGGATGGTTTAGGATTCCACCCCTTTGAACCGGTCAGACCCCTGATATACTCACTGTAGGGGCATATACGAGCTGGTACTTTGAACCTTGGTCTTAACTTAAGACAACTTTTTCTTTCTTTGCCAACACAGGTGAAAGATTCGGTAGATTGATTGGCATAATCACCAGATCAGAGATAGCTCTTGGCATCAGGTGGTTGGTTGAACCGTTGAACTGTTCACGAGTTACACACTAAGATTGTGTTTGTTAGTGTGTGCGTTTTTTTGGCGTGATTTGCCAAAAACAAAACGCCCACCGGGTGTGTATTGCATTTATATGTTTGGTATTGTTTGTGGCATGTTGGCATTGAAGTAGGCGTTTCCCCAATGCTTCATTTTAGTAACCGTCTATTTATACTATTCTTTTTTTTTTTTTTTTATTTCTTGTAATTGTGATTCAGTGCCACACCGGCTCTAGCCGCTCTACATCAGGTAGCTTTTGGGAGCCACGGTTAGGTGATACAGGAAACATTATTTTTAGTTCTTTACCTAATGAGTTGGGCAAGATTTTGTAGGCATGGGTGTTTATTACCGTTTATATGAAAAATGACCATACCAAACAGTTATTTTTCGCCCAAGAAATGCCCATGCCGAGCTTGATTCGTTGTGGTGCCATTTATTTAAAAAATGACAAAGGGGCCAATTGTTTTCTAAATATGTATGTAAATTTTTGAAAGCCATTACTTTACGTTTCAATGTCTGATTGAGTCGATGTTTTTATTATTATTATTATTTTTTATTTTGGATAACTTTTCGAATGCGTTTGATAGGCTTCTTGTGTTGCTAATTTTGTGAAAACACCATTTCTTACACCTTAAATTGTAATTTTTAATATTTTTACAAATTAAAAATTAAAAATTAAAAATGAGAAAATATAATTAATATAGGTAAAACACAAAAAAAAACTCCCCTTAAATTTTTGACAATCATAAAAACCTCCCTATAGTTTCATTTTAGTAAAAAACTCCCCTGAAGTTTTTAAGAAATCAACAAAAACAGCCCCTTCTATGAATAACGCAGATGGAAAATTAGTTTGCATATGTTTTTACTAAAATATCCCCGTCAACCTGTTATCCTCTTTTCCTTTCCCACCCTCCTCTTTATCCTCTTTTCCTGTCCAACTCCATTGTTTGAAGAGAGGGAAGCTCTTTCATTCTTTCATCCAAACTCCATCAAAAGCACCTTTCGATCTTTCTTCTCAATCTCGATAGCAACTATCATGGCATTCTGCTCTCACTCACTCCTTGGGACAAGCACTGTATTCTCTTGTAATTCCTGTTCTGTGCCCAGTGTAGAGATGCATAGACGGCTGGTGGAGGCATAATGAGCTCAAGCGAGGGATTTGTTCTGCTTTGCATTGGAGATTAGTTAGAGAGCGCCATCAACATCAGTGCAGCAGTAGGGTGGTACTTGGAAGTTGGGAGGAACAAGACTATTTCAATGGCTGTGGGGGAGTTGTTCTCCAGCTTGTCCAACCTAGAATAGAGATGGAAGGGGTTTCTTCCAGCCTTTTGTTTGTTGTTGCTTTTTAATGGTTTTGGGAGAGATTCTCGGACCTGATGGTTGTTGGCCTTGTAGCAAACACATGGGCTAGTTCCTGATTTTAGGGTGGATTAATGTTGAATGAAACGGTATGCTGATTTCTTATTCAGCTATAAACTTGTCACTGAGTTGGCAGTCAATCTGTGAACAGTTTAACCATGAATAAGAAGAAGGAACATAATATCTTATTCCCAACCAGTTTATTCATGAGCCAAACAAACATTACGATTTATGAAATTGTATGGAATTAAATCATTTCAGGTTGGTAGTGAATTCAACGCCGTCCTCTTTAGTTGATTGTATATTAGCGAAATATGGGTGGAAAAGGAGGTGGTGGCAGAGGTAAAGGTGGCAGTGGTAGCGATGGAGGTGGTGGCGGAGGTAAGGGTGGTAGAGGGAAAGGAGGTAGAGGTGTGGTAGCAGTGGTCGCTGACCAGGGATTGGTTGGAGTAGCTAAGGCATGTCTAATGGTGGTGGTAGTGATGGAGGGAAAGGAGTTGGTGGTGGTGGTGGCGGTGGAGGGAAAGGAGGCGGAGGTGGAGGCAGTAGTGGTCAGTGCTTTGTTAGGGGAAACGAGGGAAATGGGAAGATGTTGCCTGATTGAGGGCAAATATAATATTTTATAATATATTTAAATGACACTAGAGGGGTAATTTGTAAATGTATATGTTTTCCATTTGGATCATTAATAGAAGTGAGGTTTCTGTCGATTTTCTTAAAAATTCAGAGGAGGCTTTTGTTAAAATGAAATTATAGCGGAGTTTTTATGATTGTCAAAAATTTCAGGGGAGGTTTTTGTATTTTACCCTTAAATATAAAGTAATACATGTATTATATGTAGAATATAATTATATAGATAAAATGTGTTTATACACATATATACATATATGTAAATATGTATATGGCTATTTATATACACTTAAGTACAATGTTTTTAAAACTGACCTGAAGGCCGAACCAATTTTGCCTTCGGGTCGCGGGTCACCAGTTTGATCGGTCGGGTCAAATAGTTCATATCGTGCTATGTCAACGTCTATACATTTTAAGTGTGTATATATATATATATATATGTAAATACATATTTTATTAATTGAATTATCTAACACCAGAAAGGCAGAAACTCGGACAGCCAGAAGGGCCGCAACTGTATTGAGCCAAAACCGCATATCAATTAGTATAAACACTTGCAGCAAAAGAAATCACAAAGAGCAAATAGAAGTAAGAATCAGAAAATGGATTCAGTTACTTGTAAGAAACATTTACAACAGTGTATCAAAGAAGATGTTTAAACCAGAAACCCTCCCCTTTTCTAAAACAATAAAAAAGAGCTTCAAGAGACACATTTATACGTACGTACTATGGAATTGGATCGCCGGAGTAAACCGCTTTTCTTTCGCTGGAATTTTCAAATCAAACCCAATATCCAACCTCTTTTCTTCTTTTGCACCGGAAAAGAAAAAAAACGACGACCCTTGTTTTCATCCCACGTCGCCTATGAAAATCCACGGGGTAGAGACATACTCCACGTGTTATGTATCTCTTGTGCCAATTGGGACAGAAACACAGAAATAAGAGGTAAAGCTCCCTTTGGCTTGTCGGATGAAAAAAAGATTGGGATCTATAAGAAACAGCAAGCAAGTGTGAATGCAAATATTTAGAATGTAAAATGGTTTATATAAATTGCAAAATAGGGTCGGTTTTGTACTGATAAATTTATCTTTTTACTAAATATACTTTTAGTTGTAATGGATGTAAATATAAATTTCAATAAAGTATATGTTTTTTTTTTTTTTTTATCAAAAGCCCACTTGAATGCAAATTTGCTTCTTTTTTATTGATGTATTTTTACATCTTATTATCAATGTAAATATGAATTAATCTGTTATTTGTCAATGCATAAATGTAATGTTGCAAAACACAGACAAAAGTAAAGTGCAAATTCGTTACTTCTTCATCCACTTTTTCAAGTTTTGTTATAGTTGAACTCCTTTTTTTAGAAAATAAAAATTAAGAAAAGTTGAAATATTGTCTTCCTTTCGTTCAGTTTGTAATTGTTTCATGCGTTTTTTATCAATAATTCAATATTATTATTTTTTTAAAATCTATTCCTACATGCTAGCTGTAGGAATGATATAGGACACTAATTATATGGGGGTGTTAGTTGGACCAGATTTCATCCAATTCAATCCGGTCCAATATGAGCCCATTACAAATAGATCAGGTCCAATCCAATCCGATAAATACTCTAGATCATTTTGGATCAATCTAATTCATTGTCTGGACCATCTAATCTGTTCAAATTGATTCCAACCAAGACTTGTTCCATTGACACCTGTATTTTGCATTAGTTCAATCCAATCCAATATAAAACCATTATGGATGAACCAGGTCCAATTCAATAAATACTTTGGACCATTAAGTCTAGATTTGTCTAATATTTGTCCGTTCAATCTGTTCAAATTGATTTTGATTTGAATGGGTTTCATCTCAAACTGGTCTATTGACAACCCTACTAATTACTGCCTTGAAAGAACATCATGGGAGATGTTCCCAATACATGGTAGAGACTCTAGAGATGATCTGTGGGGCGTGCCTTGTGGGAAGCCCATCCAACTCTGCTGAAGTATACAATTAGTAGGTGTTTGATTTGCATGGTTTGAGCTAGTGGTTTAAATGAATTTTGTGTCAAATATCATTTACTAAGAAATGGTCCAACCCTGAAGAAAATTTAAGCAGGAATAGCCCCAACAAGATGAGTTTACATCTGCTTTCGATACGTTTGTTAAAAAAAATGAGTAGGAATGGAAACGAGATAGATGCAGGGTGGGGATCATACTCTCCATCTTGACCTAGACTTTGAAATAAATCTTCGTTCTGAGGAATAAAAGCGACCCTTCCCTATCCCTGTTGGAGATTGATTAGTTCCCCATTAGAGATATAAATCCCCAAAGCTCAGTTTGGAAAGAGTATACATATAAATATGTACAATGTAAATACATACAAAATAATAGAAAATATAAGAATTTGCACTCTACATATTTGCATTTGTACTCCTTCCAAACTGAGCCCAAGGTAATTTTCATCCCCATCCCCATCCCACAAGGCAATGTCCATTCCCGACTCCGAAACTGAATACCTGAATACCTGATAGGTATAGAGAAAATTGTCATTCCTAGAAATGAACCAATCTCTAGCGGCCATTCCCAAGTTTCTCACTCCTGTGCATGCTTAATTGTGAGAAACACTAAGCTGGTCCATCATATATGGCTGTTGATAAAATTG